GGTGTACAGCGCACACAGGGGTTTTATCTTGGGATGAGATCGTTCATGTTGTCAGTGCGGCATGCGGATGTTACTACCTTAAAGACAGTTCTAGCAACTCCATTGATCTTATCCGAGTTGTCCTTATGGGCTTCACAATTTGTTTCATTTTCTGACACGATATGATCGCTTTCACCCGCTACCTTCTTCCATCGCTGTCAGCCACAATCCTGAAGCTTCTAGCACTTCTCGGTTTGTTCATTTTTTTCATTTAATTTGTAAAACCTGAACAGTTTATAAATTCAAGTTACATACTTCCTCCATCCTTAAAAGATTGTCACAGTTTGAATTTTTTGATCAAATTGTGGCACCATTTGACCACAAATTAGATATAGTTTGAAATAATTAAATCTTATAAAAATTTGCTGCTTTAATACTACATTTTGAAATAAACCTAAATTTACTAAATATACAATACAACTAAATATACTTTTTCATAATGTAGATCAAAAGGTGTTACAGTTTGACCAAAAATATCAAACAATTTCAATCTTTTAGCTAGAAATGTAGAGAGTATTTCTTACTCCCTCCGTTCTCAAAAACACTTCCTCTTTCATTTTTTCCACTTCCAACAAAACACTTCCCCTTTCTATTAAAAAACCACTTTTACCCTTACTTTTTCATACCCTACCTATCACATCATACTTTTTCTCTAATAATCTATCAATCACATCTTACTTTTACCCATTACATCAGAGGCAAAATTGGAAATCAACTATAATTTAACACTTCCTTATTTTTGCCCCCAAATCAAATGGAAAGTGTTTTTTCAAACGGAGGGAGTATTACTTATTGTGAACAGCACTATCCTATATATAAAACGGTATATATAGTGTTGTGTAGGACGACGACCCCATCGATTATGCCATTATGGCAACGCCGAAGGTGACAAGTGAGGGGTCACCCTTTACTTCAAAATTGGAAAGCTTTCTTTTTACGAAGTAATCCATGCACATGCGGCATTTATGCCTCATTCTACGTACAATATAGTAGCAATAGTTTTTTTTCACTCTTCCTCCCCCTTTCCCTCCCTCCCTCCATTTTGGTCTCGTTTAACATCAGTGTTACATGTTAGCGTTAGCGTTTTGAAAGGACTATTCGACGAAGCCTTTAACGTTAGTGCTTTCAGAATTGATCTATGTCATTACAATTTTATTCCAAATGCTAACGCTAAATGAAAACGATCCTCCCAAACAAGGCATTTATAAAATTTTGGACAATTTGACTTTAAAAATTTTTAAACATTTATTAAAATAAAAAAATGTATGGTTAGAATTGATTTACAAGAAACGTTAGTAGCCAATAATGACCTTGTCATCTGATGAGAAGTCACGCGTTCTTCGATCCCCAATGCGGGTTGTAACTCTACGAGCTTTTATAGGTTGGGAATGTATAAACAGATTCTACATTGTTATTATTATAGAGTTATTAGTGTTCCGAAAAAAAGAGAGACCTTAGTAGCCACATCTTATTTACCAAAATTTAACAAAGAATAAATTAAAGTAGTAAGTGTGATATTTTTTTAGAACGTTTAAAAAATGGAAATGTAAAAACATTATTTTATGGGTCAAAGTAATAATTTGCATGCAAACGACCATACGTACCTTTAACGTGCCTCTTATCTTTGTATGTACGTAGCTACAATAATGCCCCCCGCAGAATTCTCACATGCATAAATATTAGAAAAATGCTAGGGGTACACCAAAGGTGTACCCCATATATCCCCCACCCCCTCCTTGTCCACTAAAAAAGACAAAAAAATTTAAAAAAAATTAGTAAATAAAAATCAAATAAAAATGTGTGGTGGAAAAGAGGGTGGTGTACATTTGGGGTACACCTTTTGGTGTACCCCTAGCATCTAAATATTATTCTCTCCAAACAATAATTATCTTTTCATTACATGTTACAATGTTTAATTAATGTTATTTTCAAATAATTTTAGATGAAAAAATGATATGGAATAAAAAAATATAAATTACATATTTAAAAACTACATCAAAAAATATGCAAAATAAGAGATGACCTGAATATATTATTTTATCAAATAGGCAACGAGAATAGGCTAACAAAGTGAATAAAATTTAATTCTGTGAATATTAAACGTAAAGATAATTTGTGGACAAAGAGAGTAAATAAGGAAATAACCCAAATGATAAAGAGAAAGTACAAAAGAATGTTGTGATCAAATTTGGCATGTTAGGAATAGAGCTTTCGTAATTCATCTCTAGCAATTATTCGTGATACAATTTAATGATAATTAATTTTATTAAATAATGTAGATTTCATCTCTATATCTAAAGATTACCAGAGAGAATTTAAATGGAAGTAAAATAACAATTATAATAACAATAGAACAAAAAGAGAGTAAATAATACTCCGTAATTATAATATTCTATTTTTAATTATCTTTATTATTGCTAATAGTTGAGAAGAAGTTTGAATTGAAGGGACCTTGGAATTGAATGAGACTCATCTTATCTTATTTCTAGATAAATATTGAAGAGTACCAGAGTCTATTAAATCAACTCCCCAATTCAATGACTCGTGGGGCCGACTCTGGACTGATTGGACACGTAATGTTTTTCTATAAACGAAAACTCCCTAAATTAATCACTCCTCCTTCTTAAAACCTTTGTTTTTTTATTTGAAAGGAAAATGTATTTCATTACAAGTGAAAAATATCAAAGGTCAATACATCACAAAAAATGAAGGAGGGACAGACACTCATTCTAAGAAATCAGACATAAATTCAGACGTTTAAACTATTAAATAAGAAGTGATTCTTTGATTTTCTAATTGAAACGACCATATAATGAAATAGTGTCACAAATGCCTTTACAATCACAAACCACTATAAGAAAATAAAAGGTTGTAATTTCATCTACTTGAAGAGCCAAATAGAGTGGTTGATTATTCATCTCGACTATCAACATATGCTGTGTAAAGTTCATTTTGAGTCTCCCATATTTAAATTAATGTGTATTTTGTGTATTGTAGTTTAATTTTATACTCCAACAATAAACATATATAAAATAAATTATGAGGACATATTAAGTCAATCATAATTACTTTTGGTGTTATTCACTTTATCACTTTAAATAAAATATATATTGAATATTAATTAGATAAAATATTATTTTGAAAATATTTTATATAATAAATCTAATAAAACTATATTTGTATCAATGTCCAATATCATTTTTATTTCATATGGGGTCAAAGTTTACCAATTTTGACTGGAAAAAGTCAAAAGTAGACAAATTTTGATATTTTAATTTTATTTAATGGAAAATGCAGGTGTGGGTTAATCTGAATTTAAAAATTTTTTAAACCAATTCAAAGCCATAACTTATTGGATCAATCAGAATCCGATAATACTAGATCATGAACATACAATTCTAAATTCGAAGTCGAAATAACTCGAATTCGAAGTGACCGAACCAAATTGGGAGTTCCAGGGGAGTACATTGTTAGATGTGTTCCTACATATTTTTTTTCATGGGAGGAAATTAGAGTTATATTTTTAGAGTAAGAAGATCTTTGGAGATGGGAGATAGGCGGGATCGAGTAGGTGTTATCTCATGTGATTTACTAATTGATAGCATGTGATTTATGGTCCACCTACATTTGTTACACCTACATTTCTTTTTTTCAATTTTACGTGGTCTTTCAAAAATAATCTTACATTTAATTGTGATCTATAATAATTTCTACTTTACTGAAATTTATGAATTTCGAATCACCATTAAGTTGCTAATGATGAATAAACGGAAACGGTTTGTTTTACACAACAAAATGAAAGTTAAGATTATTTTTGATGAATTTTTCGTTTTTTATTTTTTGAAATTTTCATTTAAATTTTTAAAATTACTTTCTTCCTCTATTTATTTTTATTTTTTTAAAAATTATTCTTACTTTAAAAAATAAAAATAAAAAATATAAAAAATAACGAAAATGAGAAAAATAGCTAAAACAATACAAAATTAATGAATAAATAAGATAATCAATATAAACTAACTTGAAACTAGTCAGAACTAAAATAAATATATATGGAATGGTGAGTTTTAATATTTACGTATTATACAAAGTCTTAACGTACTAATTATTTTTTGAAAGAATAGGCTGGCCACTAAAAGTTAGAATTATTCTAGATAATTTTTTTAAGAAATAAGAAGTGGTACATTAATACTTTTTTTTAAAAAAAGTAAGACTAATCTTTTAAAAAAAGAAAAAGCAATGATGGAGGTAGAAAGAAATTTTAAAAATTTAAATAAAAATTTTTAAAAATGATCGGGTACAAATTATGCATTTTTGTTAATCCACCGTTAGCAACTTAACGGCGACACAGAACTTGCAAATATCAGTAAAGTTGAGATTATTATGCATTACAGTGAAAGGTAAAATTATTTTTCAAAGATCAAGTAAAGTTAGAATTATTGTGGATAATTTTTCCTCTAATTTAATCCGTTTTTCCATCAATTTATAACATTTATAGCATTGAAAGGAGAAAATTGCATGGTTAAAATTTATATTTAGAAAATACAAGTAAAAATAAAGTTCAAGTACTTTTATCATAAATCTCTTACATAAATATCTACGTCGAAATTTAAAAAAACTTGTTCCCTCTTTATAAGTTGTGTTATCGTAGTCCTAAAGTGTACATTCGAAATATAAACTTTTTCACATGTTTTACAAAATATAAACTTTATCACATGTTTTACAAAATATAAACTTTTTCACATGTTTTACGAAATATAAACTTTTTCACATGTTTTACGTGGACACATAACTTGAATGCACATAATCACTTCATGTATTAAGGTCCATATAAAGATAATGAATCTAAGGACCACTAAAAAGTTTACCTATTTTTAATTGAATTTTTTCAAAAATTGATATAAAATTTAAAAATAAAAAATAAAAAATAAATATTTTTAATATAAATCTAATTCTATATAACAAAACCTGACATTGCTATATTATCTTATCAGATAAATAACAAAAAAAATTAAAATCACTAAACTAAAAATAGAGAGTAATTCAATAGTATTTGCATCTCCTCTTCCATACCATTACCATAGTTCCAAACATAGCCTAACAATAATAAAGTAAACAAAGGGTCACCAAGCAAGAAATGTTGGTAAAAACCTCTTTTAGGACCTACTACGTAGTAAAGAAGGATATCACACAAAAAAAAACAAAAAACAATTTTGTTTAAAAAAACACCAAAAGTTGACAAAAAAAAAAACAAAAAACACAACATACTTAGTACTAATACTCTTTATTAAGACATGCTTCAACACATCCATCCATTCAGCCCCTTGTGTTGGCAAAACCATCCCCCTCCACGTCATCATCGTCCCTGTAATTCCCATCATAGCTTTCCTTGTCGTCAAGAACATCATCATCCACAGACTCAGCTCCCTCTTCTTTGACGTTGTTGTTGTTCGTCCCAAATCCACTGCTGAAGTTCCCACCGGGAGGAACACCATAGGTTCCACCGGCAGAGTGTGTTTCCGGCGCAGTGGTGTAATTGCTGTTGTAGTCGCCGCTGCTGACATGGCCGCCGTATCCACCCCCTCCGCTGCCGTAGTCACCACCTCCCCCGGTGTATCCGCCTGATCCACTGCCGTAGTTACCGCCTCCTCCAGTGTATCCGCCTGAGCCACTGTTGTAGCCACCACCACCGGAGTACCCACTGTTGTAGCCACCACCACCGGAGTACCCACTGCTGTAGCCACCACCGCCTGAATATCCACCACCACCACCATATCCTCCTCCACCACCACCAAAGGCAGCACGGGGCTTCTCAGTTGCATAGCTCACCTTAATATTTCGGCCATGAAGAGCCTGTAATAAAAGCGGAGTCAATTCGGTCGTCAACTTTTTATTGGGACTCGATTTATCCCCCATACATATTTGGGTCAATTCAATATTTTATTTGATATTTTTTGCCCATAAATCATATTTACACCCGATTTCAGAATCAATTCAACACTCACTTCTGTGGGATTTTACTGGGTACGTTGTTGTTGGAGGCAATTGAATTCCAGGCATATGAAAACACCCTTCTTATTTCTTAAGTAGTTGAAGAAAGATGCACAAAAGGACTAAACTGGGTCTAAATTACATAGTCGATGACTAATTTTAGTAATAGAGTCAAAGGGCAAAATTGGATATTAAGTCAGTTGATAAGAATCACATCGAGCAACTCCTAATTACTGCCTGCAAAAGAAGCTTACGCTTTGACTTCACGGAGTCGAAGGAAGCGTTGAAGTGTGTGGTGGGAATTTGAGACAAAATGAAGTTGCGAGACACATATTCCTTTCTTAAAAAAAGGAAACGCGAGAAATGAAAAGTTTATTTTGAGACAAATTGAAAAGAAAAAAAATGTGAGAAACTTAATACATTATTACCTGCCCATCCAAGTTCTGCATGGCAGCTGATGCACTGTCACTCGAGGTAAAAGTTACGAATCCAAAGCCTCTAGATCTTCCAGTATCGCGGTCCATGATGATCCGTGCTGCAGATAATTTATATAATCTTAAGTTATGAGACGGAAAAAGAGCGTTCCAGAAATAAAATCTGAAAATATTTCACAACATTTAACCATTCTGTTACTGCAATGTCGCTTAAGCGGTAAACCAGAGTGAAAATAGTGAATTGTGTAACGCAGCATGAAAGCATATATATAGAATGGCCAACACCACACAACATCACACTCCCTTCATATTGTTCTTTCTAAACAGATTTACTGCTCAGTAATGAATAATCTCAGCACACAAAGAAAAAATGGTTGAAGTTCCAATAAATTTTTTTAAAAAAAAAAACATTCGGCCCGGACAGACATTTTCAATAGTTTTTGAAAAAAATGATTGGGTTTATTAGGAATAATACACAGTTAAAGGGCCACAAGCCGTGCATGGGATCAAACTGAGTAATAGTAGAATTAGACTGAAAATACCTTCAACCACGTCACCATACTGGTGAAATGCTTCCCTCAAACTAGTTTCATCAGTTCCGTATGAGAGGCCTGCAATATGAGAAAGCAAAGCAACTCAAAGAAATTGTGAAATGTAACAGAGAATTCACTTAGTAAGGAAGAAAAAAGATACTGGAGTAATCTTTTCACCTCCAACGAAAAGCTTTGAGGATGACATGCTTCTAAATGCCTGGTACATGGATGAATTTGAAAGAGACAAATCTGGAATGGTTTGCCTGCTCAACACCTGCTTGAGCACGCTTCCAATTCTATTTGAAAGAGCCATTCCTGATCCCAGAAACAACATTCAGACCAAAAACGTATAGAGCAAGAGGTGAAACATATGACAAACCTTCGGATAGATTCAAGCACAAAGTGGAGAGTTTTTTTTTAAAAAAATTAAAGAAAAAAACCGAATAAGCAAAAGTAAGAGAGCAGACAAGAAGTTCAGATACCAAAATTAGCAACTAGACCCAAAGCATATATAAAGCATCCATACACAAACTACAGAGTACAGACTAAAGTAAACACAAACCAGCAAATCAACACACTAAGGTCAAAAGAATTACCCAACTACTCTAATCATAGGCCTCCAAACGCTCTTATTATGTCAATGCTTGGTTATGAACAAATGATTCTCAAACATATACTCCCTCCGTCCGGAAATATTCTTCTCATTTTCCTTTTTGGTCCGTCCGGAAATAATCTTCCCATTTCCTTTTTTAGTATGCTTTTTAAGGCTAAATATCAATAATACCCTTCTATTTTATCACAAATCTACTTTTTTAATACTTTTTTAATAATAAAAGGAGATTTAAAAGTTTAGAGTATGTGCATTTTTGAAAATTTTGTATTTTTTTTACTATTCCTTAATAAGCGTGCCAAGTCAACACGGGAAGAACATTTCCGGACGGAGGGAGTATCTACATATAGAATAACAACAACCTACGAGTTATATCCCACAAGAGGGGTCACAATTAGCGAGTAGGGAGGCCTAACCCCTGCCTATAGAAGGTAGAGAAACTGAAGACCCCGGCTCAAAAGAACATGATGCAGATATAGACACATATACTGAGTAGATAATCAAATGTTCAAATATACAGTATGTGTGTAAAATACATGTGTGACCCATGAGATAAATGCATGTGTACACTTTTGACAAAGTATAAAATGCACACTTTTATAAATGGTGTGTCAAAACACAACACAAAAAAAACATATACAGAATTATGCAGTTTGTTTTAGAAGAATTCCCGAAAAGACTTACTAACGAAAGACTAACAAAGATTTATATAGTGCAGAGAACTAATTACAGCAAGAACGATAGTTATTGTTTTGTAAAAAAAAAATCAAACTTTTTGAAATTTATCTACACCGAATGAATGGAAAGGGCAAACACTGCCGGGTGCTCTCACTAAAAAAGTTTTCTTTGTTCACACCAGCAACCAAACATCTCAGCAAAAATCATTAACTTTATGTGAATCATAATCCTAATAAATTTTAATAAAAGAACCATACAAGTACAGATTATACACAGGCAGCATGATTAGTCTTATAAATAAACCTAAATCTGAAACGTCAAAACAAGATCTGTACAGAAAAAGTGTTTCAGATTTGTAATTTTGACCCTCAGACAATTAAATAACGATAAAAATAAAACTAATGATTCGATTTTCGTAACTGGAAAAAGGAAACAAGGGCACGATTTCTGTGTGAACGCATATGATAATGATGATGGAAGATGAAAGGGAGAAGAGTGCAGATGAAGGGTAGAAAAGGAAGAAGAAAGAAATACCTGAGGATTTGTTTTTTCTGCAAATGGAAGAACGGGGGAGTGGGGTTTATGTAGAAGACGAAGAAGAAGTGGCTAGCAGCCGAAGGGAAGCTTGGGGAAATCAAAGGAATATTTCTATGGTTTTAGGAGTAGTAGAAAGGATTGGGTATGGGCTTTGAGTCCACACGCAGATTTAGTGTTATTTTAGCCTATACGGCGTATAAGTGAACCGGCCCAACAATTATTCAATACAAAAAGTAATTTATAGGCCCATATTTTTTTAATTTTTTTTTATTTTTTGTTTCTTATTTTGGTTTTGTAGATAAAGTAGTTTATAATTTTATATACTCTGTGTGTGTGTGTGTGTATATATATATATATATATATATATATAAACAACAGAATTTTTTTGATACAATGCATATAATATAATTACAACGGGAATACGAGAGAACACAAATTACAACGAAAATAAAACAAGCAAAAAAATACAACGAAAAAATACAACGAGAAAAATAAAAAAACAAAGGAATAAAAAAATTACTCATTGACATCTCAGTTTTTCCAAACATGCTCGACCAAATCTCCTTTAAGAATGTTATGTATTTCTCTGTTTTGGACTTCCGCGCGAATTTCATTTCTTTCATCGTTTGAAATTTCAATTTCCAAAACGTCAACCTCCTCGTAGTGTTGGCACACCGCTTTTCCTTTCTTCTAAAATCATGTTGTGAAAAATAATACATGCGTACATAGCATTTCTAATTTTATTTTTTCCCACATACGACATGGGTTGCGCACGATATGTCATTTTCATTTCAGAATACCAAATACTCTTTCAACATCCTTTCTGGCGGCCTCTTGTACCTTATTGAAATATGCTCTTTTTCTCATCCTCCGCACAGGGCAGGGCATGTTTCACAAGCGTCGCGTACTCCGGATAAATGTCATCCGCAAGATAATATCCATTGTAAACATCATCAAATATTGGAGATTGATCTAGGACAATAATATCGTTATGCAAACCTGCAATACCAAAAAACGCATGCCATATCTAGAGATCGTGTGAAGTCGCTTCCAGCATTAAAGTTGGACTTGAGTGATCACCACATTGAAAATATATCTAAATAGAAATTTCATGTTTTATTCCCAAAATAGGCCTTAAAATGCATTTACATTATCAAACATTGTCATGTAATTTCCAAAAAGTATAGTAATGTGTACATGTACAATGCCACATTACAGCTACATTACCACAGTGTGAAGTTCTATTTCGAGAAAAAAATATGAAAGTTTTATTTTGCTACTTTCATCTATGTTTTAGTCATATTTAAGGTAATTTCTATCCATGAAAACCATGAACATCAGATAATGCCGTAACAATTTGATTATAAAAGTCGTATCGTCAAACTCTAGGTCAAACCCACCCATGAGCAAGTCAAACATTACATACCTGGCGTTCTTAGGTGGTTGGATATTGTTATCAAATGAATATGCAATTATGCATCTTGCATTTCCCAGCCATTAGCCCGCCGATGACCTACTAAAATTAATTTTGGGAAAAACAAATTAAAACAAAATACTTCCACTTTGTTTTTGTCTGAGTGGACAATTGACTATTTTTGTTAGACTTTTTCAAGAATAAAATACTCCCTCCGTCCTTAGAAAATTGCCGACGAAATTTTAAAAAAATATATATTTAATTATAATGTAAATTAAGTAAATAATTTGACCAAAAAATCAAATAATAGTAATTTTTTAGAGACAGGAAAGTATCTCATTAAATCAAACACATCACTTCTTGTAGTAAGAGCATGAGCAAAAACATTAGTGGAACGATGGACAAAATTAATAGAAATAAAATCAAACTCAGACATAATAGACCTGCAATCATCAAGGGACGGCCATAGAAGTGCAAGGGACTCACTCTAATTTAAGAATGAGTTAAGGGTTTGACAGGTTGGTCTCGGACCTCCTGCCCTTAAAGTCCTACCCCATTCTTTTGTGGCCGTTTGGAGGACACATCAGTTTCCCTTTCCTGACGTCCTGTAAGTACAGATGACCCAAATACAAAGACTGAACTTGCACAAATTCATCCCCCNATTTAGCTTCACTACACTCACTCACTCCACTCATCTCTCCGGCCTTGACTTTAGGTCAAAGGTTTCGAAAGTGTTTTAACGGTACAGATCAACTTTAAAAACAATAACGTTAAAAGTCGTTCTTGTTAAAGGGTTTGGTTCTCAATGTGTTTTCTTGATCCAAAAGTTCGATTTGAGTTGACAATTTACTCATCTTGCACACACAATTCTCAATAAGAAGGGTATATTTGTACATTCACTACACATTCACTACATTCAGGCACAATCATGTCAATTACTCAATATGATCATCAACTATGTAACAATTCAGGACATCCATTTGTTGACACCCAAGAATATTACACTAGTAAAAATGGCTTAACAAATAGTTGTACATACAAACAAACAATCACACCAAATGATGCAAAAACTTGGCTACAGGTAAAAAACAACATTAAACTTGGTAAGAAATTACCACACCAATTATAACACTATATGATCACATAAGAAAAATGGCAATAAAATGGGTAAGAAAAATTCTATTACTGCCATTTCTCTGCATCTGTTCCATCTTCTTCTCCATCACTTCCTGTGAGAGCCATGCAATGACTTGGGAGTTTTTTCAAACAGATCCTGCAAGTAGTTTTCAAGGTCATCAGCACTGTACTTGATATGCTTGTCACTTATATTAGACGCGTGCCGCCCCACGAACGTCCGGTACCCCTGGATCACCGTCAGCGACGTGGTGATGATGAGGTCATCGCGGAGCTGCCGGTCCGGCACGGACCACCCGGTCTGGTTCTTATAAACCTCTTCGAAGGCCATGTAGAAGCTGTGCAGCCGTTCTTTGAGGAGAGTTCGGGAGACCGAATTCGACCCGGGATTCAGAATCGCTTCATCCCGGATCAGGTACAGTATGGAGCTCCAAGTGGCTCTCTCGTAACTCCTCGCGTGCTTCTGGAACTTTCCGATGCACTTCCGGATCCAGTTGTCCCCCAGAACTGTCATCAGCTCTGAGCTCTTCTTCACCTTCTCTGCAATGTAATGGAGATTGTTCATCAAGAAGAGGTGTTTCAGAGCTTCATCCTTGTACATCTTTGACCTGGACTCCAAGTTGGACTCCAGAGTTGAAATGAAGGACTGGAAGTGGTAAGCCATGGAGGGGCTTCCACGGATGACATCATCTTCGCTCGACGGGCTCGTGTCGGGCGAATCCGTTACCGGGTCCTCCCTTTCTTCGTCCTTGAGAAGCCCGTTGAGGACTCTACTGTAATCCATGAGGGCCCTCATGTAGTTCATCACATACTTTGTGATGGGGTGGACCCCGCCGCCGGGGAAGGCGTTCGCGGACGCGTTGGCCGCGACGGCGTTTTCGAATTCAAGAAATGTGGATTTCGCGCAAGCGCCCAAACTCGCGAGGACGTGGCGGCACTCGGCCCTCACGCACGACCCGGCATCGTCGAAGTATAATGAATCGATCTCGGGTACGAGGTCCGTTAGGACCTCGTACATGTCCAGGACCCGAATAAGCCGTTCGGGCTTTTTCGGGCCGATGGACACGGCCTCGCCGAAATTCAGGAGCTGCAGGAGCGAGGCTTTCGACGACTCCACAAAGCAAACGGGGCCCGCGGGCCCCGTCTCGCTGAATATCTGGTCGGCGAGCCACTTCTCGCTGGCCAGGTAGATCCGCACGAAGATCTTGAACGCCCGGACCCACCTCCTCATCTTGGAGTTCAATGAGCTCCACTCCATCCTCTGCACATCCTCAATGCTCAGCTGCTCAACTTCTAAGGTAAAGAGGCAATCGTCCAGCGCGTCTCTCCTGACACTGATGAACGCCTGGCTGCACTCGCGCCCGTAATTCGAATCGAACATCAGATTCACAATGCATTTCAGGTCCGGGATCACGTCCGGGTGGACGAGCTCTATGACGTAATCCTCCGAGCTGCGGCTCATGCTGTCCCTGTGGGCCCCGTCGTCAACGGACTCCTCCCCGAAGGAGATGATGGAGCTCCCGTCTGCCGTGTCCTCTTCGGTGGAACGGAAAGACATGTGTTCCGGCTCAAAGGGAAGCCTGTTGTTGACCAGCAAATGCATGAACTCATCTTCCAGCCTAGTCATTGCAGTCTGAAGAACATCATGAACCCTCCTAAGAAGATCAGCCTCCCTGCCGTCCTTCTCTGGGCATAAACTCTCCAGCTTTTCAGCTAGCTTTCGAGCTTCGTCCACAGATCTCAGATACCCATAGGCCTCTTCAGCCCCACAGTCCCATAAGAGGGAGGGATTTCCATCCCAGCTCATGATCTTGGCCTGCAAAGCGTTTAGCTGCTCCTCGTACTCACTAACCCCATCCTCCTGATGATCAACACAGTTGTCCTCTGTGTTGGCCCTAGTTATGGAGGCCAGCTGAATGCCCAGATCTGCTAGTTTCTTCCTGGCATCTTCAGTCAAATTCCTCTTAGCCCCCAGCGAATTGGCGATGTGTTGCAGGGCGGCAATCAGGTTTTCTTCCTCTTCCATTACTGGCTGACAATCCCCCATACCATCAAGAGTTCAACACGGAAGAACGCTAAATAATGTAATAGCCCAAAATCGAGTCTTTAAGCTAAAGACCTAATCCAGAAAATCAAAACATATGATGCACATACACTGCTAAAATTTGTGGGTTCTGAAATTAAATCAGCTAGGAACACTTAAACACAGAAAAAATCAACAGCAGGGGAGTAGATAATCGGGAAGAACACGAAAAAGGGGGGAAACAACGGGAAAAGCCGCAAACCTCGTCATGGGGTTCGAGAAGAATTTCTCAGATTTCACTGAAATGGATTGCGAGCAGCCAAAGTAAGACGGAAACGATGAGAATCTGGGGACGCGAGACAATAAAAGGGGGGATTTGGATCAAATCGATGGATTAATGAGCAAATACCCAGAAGAAGAAAGGGAGCAAGAAAGCGAGGAGACGGATGGAAGTAGTGGCAGGAAGATGGAGTCTGGTTCCTGGAAATACCGCCGACTGGAAGATGAAGATGAAGATGAAGGTTCGCGGGAAGGTGTGTGAACCACCCACGTTCCAATAATGGATGCGCTGCGCAGCTTGTCGCGACCCTCTGTGATTGCTTTATTGTTCCTCTGGAAATGGTTTTTATGTTTTCAACCCATGACCACATACATGCCTGAGCCTTGACCCTCCCCTTCCCCTGGTCACTAGCATTCTAGAATCGGACCAGAATGGGACAAACTTCTAAAGGAGTTGAAAAAACTAGGTCAATTTGGTTGTTATCCATTCTTTTGAGCAACTGGCCGGGATTCTGGACTCGGGAATAGAAAAAGTACAAGAAACTCTTGGTTCACAAACTCAAACTTCACAAACTTCACAAATTTACTATTTGTGAACTTTAATGAAAAAAATTAAATAGTCTAAAATAATTTTAAAATGAGAATTTAACCATAAATAGTAAGTTTGTGGAGTTTGTGATCATTCTGTTTGTGAACGTAGCATTGCTCAAAAAGTACAGCCTAACAATAAAGGCCTTTGTTAGGATTAGGGTTTTCGATTAGTCTTAATGTATTGAATAAAATTTTAACAGTATAGATTGATTTTCAAAAAGCTAATACTAAGAGCTAACGTCGAATAACATTTTCAAACCCTAATGCTAGCTAGCTTCTAACGTTGATGCCAAACGGGACCAAATATTTAAATGCTACTTCTTCCGTCCCAAATTAAATTATATTTTATTATTCATTGAGTCAAACTTTATTTAATTTTATTTCTTATTTTCGTCGGTAATTTGATAAAATAATATAATCATATCACGACTATTTTTATAGATCTTTTTATGTAGTTTTTAATTATGTAATTTTTACTTTTTAGTTCTATACTATTTTTCATAAAAATGATTTGAAAATAACTTCAGTCAAACATTATAAACCAAAACATGCGATTTATATAGGGACCGAGGGAGTATGTTTTGGTATTCAAATACGAGTGCTCGTTAGGTGAACCTAAGGTCCACGCTATTTTAGATGAATTTTCATTTGAGTGTTATAAGTAAATGCTTACTTTTCTAAAAACAAGTTTTTTTACATCTTATTTTTCTAAAAAAAAAAATTATCAAGTCACTATATATTGCCTTTGTCTCTAAAAGATTGTCACATTTTGAATTTTTGGTCAAATTGTGTCATTCTTTTAACACAAACTAAATATAGTTAAAAAATTAAATATCATAAAAATTTAATACTTTCTTCGGTCCTAAAAACTCTTTTTTTAAATATTTTTTGTCAAACAATGACATATTTTGACCACAGATTAAACATATTCTAAATAAATAAATGATATACAAATTTGATATATCAAAACTATATCATAGAATGAATCCAGTTGTATTGAATTTAAATTATAATGAAATATATTATTGTCACAATTTATATTCAAAGTGTGTTACTATTTGACTAAAAAGTCAAAATAGAAAAAGTTTATAGGATCGAAGAGAGTATCTCAAAACTATATTTTAAAATAAACCTAATGTTACTAAATTAAATCATAACTATATTTTTTTCATAATTTGCGATCAAAGAGTGTCACAGTTTTATCAAAAAAAATCGAACAATCTTTTAGGAAGACGAATAATAACCATCGGTTCTCAGTTAATTTAGGCAAAATAAAGATAGTTAATATAGATAAATAATTTAAAAAAAGGAACATCTAAAAAATGATAATGAGAAAATAATAAAGGGAAATAGGAAGTATTCAATACTCCGTAAATTAAATTTTAAAAGGTGAAGGAAATACAATTGCAAGAAAAAAACAATTGCAAAAGGTGAAGAAAAGTCAGTGTGGGTCACACATATTGAAAGGATGTCCCTACTATTTACAGTCCCCCGCTTCCCACTTGTGCTTTATCGTGGGATAGAAAAGTCAATTTAATCGTCTTGGGGATACTTTGCATTTATTTATTCAACAATAATTTACATTTCTTTCTTTCTAATGTCTCCTCTCAAATTAATCGTTTCATTTTTTGTTTTAGTCTGTTTTAAAATATTTACTCACTCTATCTTATAAAAATGTCACAGTTAATATTTTGGCTTTTCGATAATTTTGTTATTTTACTTGTTTTGGTTGACCATTTGATAAAATAAAGTATTCTTGTTGCATCTTATTTAGTAAAACTTTTGATGTTTTTTTGAATAATGTAATTTTTACTTTTTATTTTTTTTCAATTTATAAATAAAATTATTTTTTTAAAAAAAAAAATTACACATTTCTTGAAATGTTGTACTCCCTCCGTCCCGATTTATATTGTCCGTTTTGACTTTGGAGCATATTTAAGGAAGAAAAAAATTGAGGTTGACTTTCCGAAAATGGCCTCACACCCTATTACAAGTAATTATTGAAATGGTATCAGAGCATGAATCCTCAGGGGACATCACAATTATCTGTTCCTATATTGAATGAGAAAAATTATAACAGATGGAGCGTCCGGATGAAGGTGCTGTTCGACTACCACGAGATGTTAGATATCGTGGAGAATGGGATATCTGCATTAGCAGACAATGCTAATGAGGCGCAGAAGGCAGCCCATCGTGAATTAAGGAAAAAAGACAAGAAAGCGTTATACTTTATCCATCAAGGGATGAGTGATGAAACATTCGAGCAGATTGAAGGTGCAAACACCTCACATGAGGCCTGGAGCAATCTGTTATCGACGTACCAGGGAGACGAGAAAGTGAAGAAGGTGAGACTCCAAACACTGAAGAGGCAGTATGAATTACTGCAGATGGAATCCACTGAAACGGTTGAAGCTTACATCAATCGTCTTCTTGTTTTGACAAACAACATGGAGGAACATACACGGAGCAAGAGAAAGTAGAGAAGATTCTGAGGACTTTAACACCCAGATTTGAGCACATCGTGGCAGCAATTGAAGAATCCCATGATGTATCGACAATGACAGTGAAGTTACTGTCAGGTTCTTTACGAGCCCATGAGCAGCGTCTAAATGGGAACAAATCTGAAAAACCCATTGAGCAGGCACTTCATGTACAAGGCTCTGGAGAATTTAATCAGAAATCTGTAAATTCTCGTGGTAGAGGAAGAGGTCGTGGTGGCCGTTACACCAACCAGGGACGTGGCAGTGGAGCAGACAACATGAGCCACAACAATAGGTCGCACTGGAATTCTGATAGCAACTATCAACAGAATGGCAGAGGTCGTGGCCGTGGACGTGGTAAAGGGAGACATGACAAATCCCTCGTGGAGTGTTTCAAATGTCATGAGCGTGGTCACTACGCTAATGAATGCAAACTCAAAAACACTCAAACAGCTCATTATGTACAAG